TAGCACAATAAAGTTTCCAAACTTTTTTCTTTGACATTAGGAAAACACTGCAACACTTTGAATTGTCCCCTCCTACCCTCTGCGAAAAACAAACTCAAAACTTAAAAAACATGGAATTAATTCCTTGAACAAACAAAAACGCACTTTTATCCAAATTCCTTTAAAGAGTACCTAGAGGTTTCAAATCTAAAGCAGATAACTTACACCATCCAAAGAAAACAAACCGATAGTTCAAAATGTACTTCTTAGTTACATGGCCTTTAAAGATTTTTCTTTTGTTAATTGCACTTAGTCATTGAAGAATGAAACCAGTTGTCTTACTTGATAGTCAACTTGATTCATGAATTATCAGGTATCAACAAGAAAATAATTTATGAAACAGAGGAATCACATAAATGTATTTTTTGCAAAAATTATATTTGATATAAACTTTAGTCATTGTTAGTATTTATAATATTTATAACATCTATCAGAGCATTTAGATCCTTCATGTGAACCACGAAATAGAGCTGACTTGTGAGTTGAGATTTGACCAAAGTCTTCATGAAACGACAATGCAGCTTTTACATCCTACTTTTTTGTCCCTTAAAATCAAAGTAGAACACATGAAAACTAGGTAAATATGTGATTAGCTCCACATTCATGCATTCAGTGTTTTGATACTGACTTGTGACAACACTGTGGTAGTTTTGAGAAAATGATTAGCAAGACAGACATAACCCCTTCCTTAAAAAGATGACATTCTAGTTGGGAGACATTTTCTTTTAAATCTCAACAAATGAACAAAATATTTACAAATTGCATAATATAGGAAATGTGCACGATATTAAGATAGGACTTGATACTGTAAAGGAGGAATCTTGAAGAATGGGACAGAAGGGTGAACAAGAGCCAATGTGAAAGGTAGTGGAAGTGGGGTATGGCTCCCCATAAGTGAAAATTTTAACTGTCCAACTAAATACATGGCAGACTACATACTAAATACACTGGGATATTACATGTCCACGATGGCACATTTTTATGCAAAGTAACTATAGATGTACTTTTAAAATGTTTATAGTGTAGTTGTGGCAAAGGCTAGAAATAAATGTATCCTCTCACCATTACTGAAATACCGTTGAGAAAAACTGTGAAAAATGAATTAGTTTATTCAGTTTTCTTTCCACGGTGGAATTCACTGTGAGTTTTTCAGGCCTAGTGTATAAAAGAGAACACCTAATCTTACCATAAATATAACCTTAAGGTAAACATAACCTTTACTTTCTGGTGAGCTGAACATACCATCATCTGCAAATGAGAAAGGAACATAGGAACACAGAATGTTAAAAAAGGGGGGGGAGGGGCACTTGCCCAAATGGTCTTATTCCTACATGTCATCATGAGATGTTTGCCATTCTAAAATTTGGAATATACAGTCTCCTTCCCAAATCTCCCATTCTGGGGGAGACAGGTCCAGAGGAAATGTGAAGTTTGAGAATACGTAGCCACTAGGGGGAGAGAGTGTGCCTCTGGTGATTAAAGAGCCAATGAAAGTAACTAATGAAAAGGATAGGCTTTCAAGGGAGCTAAATTAAGCTCTAATCAGTCACAGGCATGGACTATATCAACTGAGTTACTTTGGGGAACTTGAGGGTGAAACCTTGAGACTTCACATTGCATCGTCTACTATTAAAGAACTATATTGCTTAAGCTATTCATTTTATTTTTGAATGTTTTAATTCATCCGTTCTAAGGACCTGCATAACTATGCAGAATCTTAAACACTTAGGCTTAGTTTTTAGGAAGGATCTACGGTGACTTAGGGAAAGCAGTGTTGCTCTTTATATACTGGCGATTTATATATTAAGAACAATAATCCAATTTTCTGATTAAAATCCTTGCCATCTATTGGGATGATCAGAATGATTTGTTGGGTTCCGTGTTTAGTATTTCCCAAACATGATTTCGGAAAATTTTCTTTTATTTAGATAATTGAACAAGTCGAAAAAACCTGTGTTACCAATGTATTGATTCTCAGGTACATGAAATTTTCTCAAAATCAGCTCCTCTGAGCCCAAATAATTTCCTCACCAAAGAAAATTAGCTCATCTTGCTTGCCGTATACCACCAACTTCCATTTTTCTTAATTAGAATATGAGCCTATTGGTGCCATGATTTCATAAATACAATGTGTGAAATTTCAATCTAAATTTCAGTCTAAAATTTAAATATAACATTATATACGTCATAGGATAACAAGTATTTAGTGTGTATTAATGTGAATGAATTCTTTCCTCACCCCAAAAATCTAAAGAGAAGACATTCCCCCAAATTTCCCAGTTATTACAGAGTGGTGCCCAAGATATAGTTGTTTTCATTTTTAATGTATCATTAATGTATCATTTCTCTTTCCTCAGCAGGGAAACAAAACAACACAACTCAGCAACTATTTCTGGGATTCCTGAAGGAGTAGGAGGACGGTGCCTGCTCCTACTCTTAAAGCACTGATTTTTTTTTTTTTTTTTCACAATCTGTGATATAGTTTCTCAGAAATGCTGTTTGGCAGTGCTGACAATTCCATGTGTTTTCAAACTTAAACCACCCAGACGACACAGTTCCGTATTTTCAGCTCCTTTCATTTTCCTTTTCCCTTTAATTATACAAGTCTCCAGTCCCTCTTTTTTGCAAATGTGGTCAAGAAAGATACTAAATGCTACTATGGATAGAAAGAACGTGCATTTATTTTTCTCTTGATGCTCCATACATGTTCTCCCCAAATAACAAAAGCTGTGCTATTGAACTCAAAAAGATGACACTGACGGGCAACACTTGGCCTAGCAACAACTCTTGGGCTCCTCACCACTGCCCCTGACTTTGGTGCATGTGGCACATGCGTGGGGGACAAACAAAAACAAGTAAACACTCCAATTTTAAACTTGCACTGGAGCGCAAAACCCCACAGAGGCGCTTCACCTGAGCCCTGCATGTCCTTTCCCATCCCTTCCCGAGGACGCCTCCAGCCTGCCTCACGCCCTGGTCTATCAGGAGGGTTTTCTGAAATCGTGCCGCACGGTTCATTGCGAAGCCCGAGTGGGTGGGTCCCCGCGCACACCCCGACTCCGGCCAGGACGCCGATGCCGGAGCTCGGCGCCGGGCGCCCGGGCCGCCGCCCCGCTCCCTGCGCCCGGCCTCACCGCGGTTCCCAGTTTGGAAGAAAACTTCACGCGGCCGAAATGAACCTCCCTCTCCCGGTCCAGTCCCGGTCCAGTCCCAGCCAGCAGAAAACGTGAGCTTTATTAAGCCGGGGGCGCGGGCGGAGGTCGCTGCGCGCTCTCCAAAGCGCGTCACCTGGCCGCGCGCGGGGGGCGGGGTCGGCCGTCCCGGGGCCGCCGCCGCGGGGAGGGGGCCGCGGCCGGGCGCGCGGGTGGGCGCCGGGGAGGGCGCGCGGCGCGGAGCCGCCGGGGCAGCACTTGTCCTGTAATCGATTGCCGAGCACGCCGAGCGGCGCAGCGCGCTGACACGCGCACACGCGCCCTCGCGGGCCCGCCCGCGCGCGCGCGCGCGTACCACGACACACACACGCGCCCGGGCGCGCGGGCGCGCGGGCCCCGCACACACTCCTGAAGGCGCGCGCGCGCGCGCACGCACGCCCGAGCCCCCGGGCCCCGCACACACTCCTGAAGGCGCGCGCGCGCGCACGCACGCCCGAGCCCCGGGCCCCGCCGTCCGCAGCTGCAGCGGCCCCAGCCGGCCGGCCCTCCGCCCGCGGGCGTCTGCGCGAGCCCGGCCGGCGGGGGAGATGTGCTTCGGCGCCGGCGGATCGGTTTCTCGGGGTTTGACCAGCTGTCCCGGGCTAACCCTGCTCCTCGCTGAAGATGGAGGAAGTAAAAGCAGGATTACCCTTAGCTACAGAGCCACTGCCTTAGTTTCCACCTCCAACTGCAGTGCACAAACACACGTTAGGCACAGGAAAGAAAGAAAGAGAGAGGACACACTAACTGTAAACACAAACAAAAGGGTGATGGGATTATTTTACTGCATGCACGGCTGAGGTAAATCTCCGCTTGGCTTTTGCGTGATGAAGAACAGCTCTTGTTTTATTTGTCTTCTGATTCATAGATTCTATATATATATCTATATATATAAATATGTGTATCTGATTTGCAAAGGGGGGAGTGTTTTCAAAGTTAAGTGTAATTATATGGCATCTCGTTTTGCACTGTGATGTGATCAAATGACTTGTTGCTGTTAACCCGTAATAATAATAGTACTAATAATAATATAGTTGTTTTTCTCTGCGAGGCATGGATTGTGGTGATGATTAGGGGAGTGATTTCTGTGAAGGACGCTCAGGGAATCGGGTTAAAGATGCTGTCCTCTGCCTTAATTTATCGTCCCCTTCTGGTAATTTGTTTCTGGGATGTTAATCGATTCATCAGTTCTCATCTCCATAGCTGTCATGGATTTGGACTTGTTTTGCTTTGTTTTAACTTGAATTCCAAGAAAGATTGGGGTAGCCTGGAATACATTGCAGCTGTCCAGATAGACGAGATCCTGTTGGAATTGGGGGGGGGGCAGACCTGCTATGACACATGTAAAAAGGCAGCAATTAAATCACTTTGACAGCTTCTAGTATGGGCGCAAGAGATGGAATTAAGATTGAATTTTTTTTTCTTTTTCTGTCTTTTCTTTTCTTTTTTCCCCCCTTTGCCAAGGGCCAAAAACAGTCCTGTGAAGTTGGCCTGGGTTCCTTGCTGGGTTCTGCCTGACTGTCCCTCCCTCTTACCTCCCCCCCCTTCCCCTTTTCTTTCAGTTTTCTTGTCTTAGCTTTTGGTCGGTTCTTAAGGAACCGGTGGATCAAGTTTTTTCTCTTCTAGTTAATCGCATTGCTGTAGCACTGACTGACCTCTCTCTCTCTCTCTCTTTTTTTCCTCTTTCCTGAAAGTACGTGGTGCCATTCCTGAGTGACTTTTCCTACTAGACCATCCCAAAGGGACGAGGGGGAGGGGCAGGAGGAGGAGGCGAGGAGGAGGAGGGGGGTGTTCCTTCTCTCTCATTTCTTGGTTTTGTTTATCAGCCGATCTGTTTGCTGGATTTGGGCTCGGAATGACCCACCTGTAAAGTGCTTTTCCTTCCTCCTCGCCTTGAACTCTGCAGGGGGCTTGGCTTGAGGGGCCAAGGGAGGGAAGGAGAGAAGTGGGAAACACAAAAAACTTCTTTCTTTCTCTCTCCGTTTATCTTCAGCCCGACATTGTCACCTCCTCTTTGAGGGGTTAGAAGAAGCTGAGATCTCCCGACAGAGCTGGAAATGGTGATGAATCTTTTTTAATCAAAGGACAATTTCTTTTGTATGTACATTTCGTTTCTCTTTCTCCTTTTCTTTTTCTTTCTCTCCTTGTCTGAGGGTTAATAACCATTTCATTGATGGGGCAGACTTCTTTCGCTTCTCTCTGACGTTTCTTTCTTTTTAATATGTGTGTGTTAAATGTGTACATTTTTAAAGAGATAAACTCAATTGCAAAATATCCGAAGAAACTGTTCCCCTTTTAAACTTTACAGATGCCTTTCTTTGGAACCTTATGTAATCATAATTTGAAATAATTTGATAACAGTACAGCAGGTTGAAATTTAAGTGCTATGTAGTGACTGAGCTGGGAATTTGATCTGATTATTCCATAAAGAAAGAAAAGTTTTTTTTTGGGGGGGTGGTAAGGAGGGTGGTGGTGAAGAAGGGGAGGGGAGAGAGAAGGGAAGTGGTTTTGGAGACAAGAAGTGAAGCTGCCTGTTTTCCAGTAAGTAATGGAGAAATTCCAGGAGCCAGGGCTAAATATACTTGACGATCAATACAGAAATGGCTCATTGTGAATAATTTAGCTGCTGGTGCAGTGAGAGTTTTGAAACTAAAGGCAAAAAGGACCAGGGCCAATGGAAAAAAAAAATAAGTAAAAATCTCCTCAGGACATGTCAATTCTCTAAACTTTTTCCTTCAAAGAATACAGTTAGCTTATTGATCTTTTCATTTTGTGAAATCAAAGCTAGGGGGTGTCATCTCCTACAATTTACTTTTGTTTCTGAGAATTAAATTCTTGTTTTGTGTCATTGGTGCATGAAAATAATTTCCCAAACTTTATAAAAGTAATTATCTTCCCCCAACAACAACAAAAAAGTTTATGAAATTTTCAAAATCAAAATGTATTAGTAGACTTGGCATTTGTATCCAGCCATGGTCTGGCAGCAAATTAAGGTTCCAATGAACAGGTGCTTACCCAGAACTTGGGGTAGGCTAAAATGTCAATACAAGTCAGGGAGTTGGGTAACTGCTGCAGAAACCTTTGAGACACACTTGGGCACTAAGTTTTTTTGTTTTGTTTTGTTTTCTTATGTTTGTTTGTCCTTTCCCCCCCTCCCTGTTAGAACATGATGAACCAACTTGCAACAATTGTGAATAGAGCTATCTGTACACTAGGGAAGTCCTCAAACTGCAGTGTGATTGTGGGAAGAAATGAATGGTAAAATCCTTAAATCCCTGTTAAAGCTGACACACTGGAGCCATATCCCCTCTCCCCCATATATATTATTATTTTTTTTTGCTTAAAAGCAAGTAAATTCAGATTAAAAGCGTCATTCCTTTCTTACTACAGCCCATCTTACAGCACACTTATCTTTCCTATCCTATCTCCAGTAGGAATCAGATCATTTGCAGAAAGAGTTCAGTGACTTGCAAATGAGCACATACAGTACACTGTAGTATGTTTCTTGGGCACAGGTTGCAGCAGCAGCAACATGGGCTAACTGCTTGGAGCTTCAAATAAGTTAAGCATTTAATGGCAAATACTGAAAGGAATCATTGTGTTAAGGGTATAATCTTTTACTTTGCAGCACTGCACTTTGACTATGGAAACAGAGGCTATTGATGGCTATATAACGTGTAAGTATTCTTACTCATTAATTTGTTTTTGGTAGTAAAATTGTTTTTGTATTACCTATATTATACTGCGTGAATGATAAGTTTTATCAAGAATCAGATGTTTTCTTGTCCGTTCGCAATTTCACCTTTAAACGAGTTTAAGAAAGTAGCAGCACAGAAGTGAAGAAGGAAATATAGAACTATACTTACTATATTAAGGATAATATTTAATTAGTAATACTTGGCAGATCAACACTTTCTTACTAGATTTTAAAAATTTACTTTGTTTAGATATATGTCTACTGATATGGTAAGTACTAAATAGTTACTACTCTGTAACCTAATTTTCAAACACAACATGGTAGAGAATTAGTTTCCTTAAGTTAGATAATTTTTTTTAGGCAACTCTCCTTTCAAACATCCAATTCTTGATAATCATTTTGGAAAAAATGCTGCTGATAAATATGATATGCTTAATAATTAAATTTGATGGTAAAAGGAAACATTTTTTTCCCAACTAAAAGATACTTTAGAAATCAACTACTCCAGTTTCACTTATTTTTCAGTTATGATTATTGTAATAATGAAAGTTTGAATTTTTTTTTTATTGTGGACTGGTTGTGACTTTTCATCATTTCATTCATTTACGCTATATTTCTAAATGATATTTCCTTATTGTTTCTTTTAAGGGAAAAATGTATAACATTAAAATTTCAACGCAATGCATTCCACTGCATGTATGAAGCAAAGTTGGTAATTAGATTTTATGTGACAGTGAACAGAGACCAAAAGATTTTATTTTGTGAAAGCAGGTGACAATGAGCTTTCACCTGAAAGGGAGCACTCCAATATGGCAATTGACCTCACCTCAAGCACACCCAATGGACAGCATGCCTCACCAAGTCACATGACAAGCAGTAAGTCTTCATTTTATGATTTTTTTTTCTATTTCTCTAGTGACAGACTTGAATTTGTTAGGTCTGTAGGGTCCTCTCACATTGTGGTGTAGCTGCTGCTATAGATTTTGCTAAAGAAAGAACAACACAGATTTATTCCTGCTCATTCTAGTACCATAAAACATGAGCCTGCTTACTAGTCTGAACTATCCCAAGGTGGCATTTGGGAGCTGGTGCTTACCTGTATCAGGTAAGAAATGTTAGGCTTTGCTGGTTATTGTTTTGACTCGCCAGGTTTATGACTAGATGTGTTGTTGTTGTTGGATGAAAAATATGAAAACCTGTCACTTCCAAAGGACTCTTCATAGTAAAAAAAAAAAAATGAATTAATTTTATATTGCCTTGGTACAAAGCGAGTTCATCAGTGGTGGTATTGCAGTGTGAGTTGAGCATTATTTTTTTGACATGTGAAAGTTTTTTCTTCAAAGCATTGGAAGTGAAATATAATTGGAAAAAATTTATGGAGCTCATTTACATCCATTTCTCTTAATAAAGTGAAAGCCTTTTGTTTCTCACTATCCAGAGAAGAACTGAGAAAATTTGGAAGGAGGTTTTAAACTTGTAGGAACAGACAGTTTTGGATACTATGCTGGATAAAGGACTTCTCACTAAAGTGGAAAACACTGCTTTTTTTCTTAATAAAAGAGCAATTTACATGTAGTCAGTGATAGAAGACAAAATACTTTTAGACTATATTTTGTTTTCTCTTAATTATAATGTCTTACCAGTTTTAGACTTAATGTCTAAACTTACTCCTGTCCAAATGTAATTTGAAATCTCGTGTTTCCATTATAGTTTTTGTATGTGTTATAGTCTTATATAGAGAGGACATCTGAGAATGTGTAAATATTTAATTTGAAAGTTTTGTATTTGGGTGATAGGTGAAGGAAAACCCTTTTATTTTTTTTTTCCCACAATGTTTAATAACAACAACAAAATCCCTAAATCATATACTGTATTATGAGACTATTCTTTAGTTAATGCTGATTATCTGGAGAGAACAAATTTTCCTTTACACTTTCCCTTCTTAATTCTTATAAAGATTATTATAAACCTACTAACTTTGTAAGTAGAAAAAAGTTATGAATTATGAGCAAAATTATATGGAGTACTATTAAATCAATTTTTCAATTCATTAACTAAGAGATTTTAGTTATTGATTTGAAATTTTTATTGAACTATGTGAATTTGGTTTTAAAAAGTTTTCTTTTTATTAATGGGAAGTAGTTCCTAGGTAGATTCCATTCTAGAAGCGGTCCTTGAAATTCTTTTATCATGCAGAAAGAGTTAATAGTATGTGTATATTAAATTATAGTACTAATCTCTTATAATGGCTCTTGTAGTAGTAATTAATTTTTTTGCTAGTTATTGATTTGATAAAAGTTATACTAAAGTTGCAATGTAGGCAGTGTGCTTTTTATGTTTCAACATTTAATGTTTGTAGTTCTTGGTAGAAAAGATTTTTATTTTTCAGATAATTTTTCTATAATCTCCTAAGGAGTAAGGATAAATTGACTATGCATTTTCTGGTAAATATTTAGCTATTGGCTTTGGAAACATGGGTTAAAAAAATAATGGTTAATCCTGGGCTTTTAACTGCCATTCCCTAGCATCTGCTAAATAGCAGGAAAATGTTTGTTAATTGGTTAACTGGCTCCTTTATTTGTGAATTTGATTCTGGTTGTGTAAGCACTCACTTCTGAAAGGCTGTTCACCTCTTTATTTTAAATAAACAGTGAGGAGCATAGGCATAATCAATTTGAACAAATAAGAACTGTGCTTTGACATTTGAGCTTTTCACACCCAATAATAGTAAAATTAAGTTTGGTAGTTTTGTTTGTTTGTTGTGTTTTTTTTTTTTTTGACTTAGTAGCCGGTGGCAATTCCATGTTAGTACAGTTTTTGGCTAAGCTGCATGTGTTTTTGTCTTCTTTTCCAAAGAGTTGCAGGTTAAATATTTTGGCTCTCACTTCAGAGCTGTCTGTTGCATCCTTTATGTAGCCTCTATTTACAGTATCTAGGTTACCCACTTAGGTGTTAGATGGAGAAGATACCCATTTTTCCTCTCTTAGATCTAAGAGAATATCAGCATTTCAGATTGCCAAAGCAAGTAGTGGTAGAGAAGGACTCTGGTCTATTAACTAGACCACAAAACCTAGAATTGGTCACTAAGATTATTCTGAGACTTGGAATAATATGTGTGTGTAGGGTGTGTGTGTGTGTGTGTGTGTGTGTGTGTAGGTGTGAGTATGTATGTGTATTCATGTATTTATGTCCAGTCAAATCACTGTGCCCTAGATCACTGGTTTTTCTAAATCATTTAACATGCATTTTTCACTTTATCAAATGGAAATACCATTTATTTTCTGCATTGTTTTGTATCTTAAAATGTACTTCCCGAAGGACTCTCGTTTCTAAAAACAGAATTGTGGTTTTTATTGAAAGTAGGAAAGCCAAAAGTAAATGTGAAAACCTGATGATAGAATGAGAGAGCCTCCAGTTGCAGCAAAGAGAGGACAGGATTGCACTCCTGTGAGAGGGGAAGATATATTTTTGAAAAGTTTAGGGAAAAAATGAAAACCTGTGCTTTTATAAAGTAACTAACATTCTGGCAGTAAAGTATCAATAAGTTGCAGCAGCCCATTTATTTGGGCTGTAGGAAAGTGGTCAGTTTTACTATGAGGTCCTAGTTATTTGGTTAGGTAACTTGATAACTATTCTAAGATGAAGAGTATCTGTACAATATGCTGCCAGCTATTGTATAAAAAATAGTGACAGCAGCTATCATTATTTGACAGGGCTAGAAGAGAGCATTGGGGATTTGGGAGAGAACTAAAAATGTTATAATGCCTGACAGCTTTTGCCTTTAAAATTCAGCATGTAAGATAATCTTAAAAAGACATAGTAAGCAGTGTAAGTGATCTTCACATGTTATAATGACTACTTCCTATGTTTTAGAACAAATTTTGCTAGGGAATTTTAGACGTTTTCTTATAGACTAAGGCTCTCTTTGATAAGGAGATGGGTATTGTTGCCTGAGATCATTAGTGTACATATTGAGTTTGCTGACAATCTTCGGTGTCAGAGATGACAGTATATTCCTTGATGGCTACTGGAAATACACAGTGTTAAGTGATTTTAAAAATAGAATCTGGAAGTTAAGAATCTGAGACAGACAACTCAGACAGAACAATATGAAAATAATCCATATTGTATTTCGGCCCATCAGATGAGACTTTGTTATTCCTTCTGTTTCTGGGTTTGCTCATTTCCAATTCTTGAATAGTTGCTTCAGTATGACTTTCAAACTCTTCCATACCTGCTGCTGGTTATTTTGAGGTTTAAAATTTTAAGGTTGAGAAAATTGTGGTTAATTTTATTGTTCCTTATCTACTTTCAAAATGCTAATGAATAAGTTTTCTTTAGAGATAGTTAAATAGTATAAATCTTGTTTCTAGTACTTTAAAACCTTTATGTGATCAACTTCTTGGTCAATGTAATTTATCGGTGAGGTTGATAGCCAGGTGGCATGTATGGAATTGGAAGAAGTAGTAATTCTAGTTTTACAAGACTCTGTCCAATAATCAGGTCAGGGAATCTAGTTTATTCTTCTCAGAGTGCTTCACATTCATTTTTTTTTTCCTTAGCTAGTTTCCCTTTTTAGAGCCTTGTGAAGCATGTATAAATTTCCATTTTTCATCTGTGGACATGGAGCCTTGAAGAAATAAGTTATCCTCTTCAGTCCCTTAGCTGAAGGAGGAAGTTTTCGAGATCGAGACATAAAACTAATATTACCTTGTAGGTTAGTTAGATCACTTAACTGATTTCTCATTATAATGTCATTATTTCAGGGCGCCTGCCATGGCTAATTCTGACCTGTGTTTCAGTGAAAAAACATTAGTACAGAAGTAGAAGGGGTTATTATGAGGGCGGAGTGATATCAGGTAATCTTGGTAAGCAGATGCTCTAATGCACTTTTGAAAATACAGCTTAAATTATGGGACTCACCAGCTTTCTGAGTTGTCATCTATAGCTAGTTTGGCAGTTACCCTTGGTTGGATTTCCATGGGACACACCTTAATATAACACCAGAGGGACTTGATGCAAAACCTCACTCTGTTTTGAACTGAAATACTTAGCTTGGTGTATATTCCCAACATATCTTTACACTTAGTTTTTACTTGTTAGGGAATCTTTTTATTAAAGTGATTTGATTTCCTTATAGGTGTCAAAGTTAAGCGTTACGCTATCTACCAAAAGGAAATAAAAAAATGAACTAAAAGAAGTATGTATATGCAGGGAATTAATAGCAAAAATGCTATATTTTTTTGCTTTACTGCATTTTCCCCCCACCCCCCAATCTTTTTTAGGTTACTTCATATTAAGGATAAAGGTCTGTCTTTGAGAAGTAAAGCAACTTTTTATAGAAGTTTTATCCTTATTGCAGCTATCTTTGTCCGAATCTGTCTTCTCCACTGAAAGTTTATTTAAAAAAAAAAAAATGCATGATTGGTTAGTTTTCCTTCAGGCTGGAAGGAATTGAGATCTCTAGGTTCCCTGGTCTTCTCTCCTAATTTTGAATGTTGATATATTTTTATATGATAAGTAGCAACATCACTGTCCTAAAATGAGGAAGACTGTTGTTTCTGTTTGCTTTTTCTCATTATGTCTGTTTATATCAAACATATATTGATTTAGTAGTATTTTTCTTTTGTAAATTAATCAAGACTCAGACTCTCTCTGCTCTGAAATAGGTAAGGGAAGTTAGGAACTGTTTGTCTTTTTACAAATACGGTAATCACCACAGGAGCACGGGGAGGAAGGGGCATCATTTATTGAGTATCTGTAGGATGCTCACCACTATGCTAGATGCATCGATATTATTTCACTTTATTTCCACAACTCCGCGAGGCAATTAGTTGCTCCATTTTATAATACAGAAAACTGAGGCTCACAAGCAA